TGGCACATTTAATAAAACCACAGCATTCGATCTCAGGCAGTAGCCACTTACAATTTTCCGTGAGATCAGGGAGCAGATATAAGATGGAAGTTTCCCTAACATGGCTTTGTATATAAAAATGTACCAGTGACTGAGCCTCCGTACAGTTAGTGAAAGCAAACCAGCCCTTGCATATAGGGTACAGTGATGGGTTAATGCTTTACAGTTTGTCACAAATCTCAGTGCACTGTGATACGCAGCATCTCTCTTGACCAGGCAATTGGCAGGTGCATTCATATACATCAAATCACCATAGTCCAGCACAGGTAAAAAGGTCACAGTGACTAGCCTTTTCCTGGCCTCAAGCGAGAAACAGGACTTGTTCCTGTAGAATAAACCTAGCCTAACCCTCAGCTTTTTAAGCAGGTTATTGACATGAAGTTTAAAAGTGAGACAATCATCAAGCCAGATACCAAGGTATTTGTAACAGGTAACCACTTCAAGTTGTATTCCTTGCGTAGTTACAATATCTAAAACAGGCTCTGGTGTCTTTTTAGCTTTAGAAAAGAGCATTACCTTGGTTTTCTCAACATTTAAAAGAAGCTTTAGTTCAGAGAGCTGAGTCTGGATAATGTTAAAAACAGCCTGTAATTTAACACCAGCCACCTTAATGGAGGGACCTGCACAGTACATCACGGTATCATCCGCATACAAATGTAAAGTAGCTTTATCCACATTTTCACCTAAACTGTTGATGTAGATGGAGAATAAAAGTGGACCTAAAACAGAACCTTGGGGAACACCATTTGCAATGTTCAACCACTCAGAAGACAGCCCATCAAAATGAACACATTGGGACCTTTCAGAGAGGTAGTTTACAAACCACCCCACTGCATGGCTGGACATGCCTATACTGGCTAGCCTCTGCTTTAAAATGTGATGATCGACGGTGTCAAACGCTTTTGAAAGGTCAATAAATAGAGCTGCACAACTCTGCTTATTATCTAAAATACTCGCCACAACATTCACCACTTTCATTGTGGCAGTGATGGTGCTATGTTGCCTGACTGATGTTTAGACAGGATGTCATTTGTACATAAAAACACCTTTACCTGTTCACTCACTAAGCGTTCAAGAACCTTAGCCAGAACTGACAACTTAGAGATTGGCCTATAGTTATTTAATATGGTGGCCTCCCCTCCTTTTAGCAAAGGCAGGACATACGCTGACTTCCACAATTTTGGAATTGTGTTAGTGCTGAGGGAGAGGTTAAAAAGAGTAGTGAGAGGTGGAGCAATAAAATCTGCAGCTATCTTTAAAAAGAAAGGTTCTACGTTGTCCGGGCCAGCCGGTTTCTTAGGATCTAACTTGGTTAAAGCTTCACGAACAACATCAACAGTAAAAGGGGTAAAACTAAAAGGGTTTTCCAACACACGTTTTTCAGAGTCACATACTGGGGTGTTCACAGAAGCAGAGTTAGTGACAGAATCAAATAGAGAACCACAGGACACAAAATGCTCATTAAAGCAATTTAGCATAGTAGCCCTGTCCGATATAGAGCCAGATGCTGTGGTAATGCACGGAGGTAGCTCATTACGGATATCGCCGGTGGATAACGATTTAATGGCTTTCCAACATTTTCCAGGATTATTCAGATTCTTTGTGGTTACTGACAGATAGTACTTTGATTTAGCACTTTTGATTTGCGATGTGAAGCTATTCCTTAGCTGCCTAAAACGCAGCCATTCTACCTCTGAACCTGATTCCTAGCCTTGCCCAGGCTTTGTTTCTCTCATGAAGGAGACTGGACAGATTAGCAGAAACCAAGGATTGTCTCGTCCCTTTACTCTAAATGTACGCAGGGGTGCATGTCTATCAATGATCTCCATAAAACCAAGATAAAAATAAGACCATGCGGTTTCTACATCAGCACACAGATCGATTTTACCCCAATCAAAATCAAACAGATCATGAACAAAACCCTGCTCCACAAAATGTTTTTTGTCTCTCTTAATGATAATGCGAGGTTTAACCTTTTGTACCTTAGTGTCCCTAATTGTGGCTACAACACAGTGATCACTCAGATCATTTGCAAATACTCCCACAGATGAATATTTATGGGGAACATTAGTTAAAATGAGATCAATTAGGGAGGATTTATTAGGGGACTTAATGTTAGGGCGAGTAGGACTGTCCACAATCTGAGTAACATTTAAAGAGATACAAAGGTTTTTAAAATCCTCTGACACTGCAGTTAACCAGTCCCAGTTAAAATCTCCAAGTAGCACTAATTCCTTGTAGTCTAGTTGTGATAAAATATGTGCTAGTGAAGACAAGGAGTCTTTGACAGCTGAGGGGGGTCTGTAACAACTCACTACCATGACCTGTTGACCCTTTGCCACTTCTATATTTATGGCTAAAAATTCAAATTGCTTACTGATCGATTTGGAAACTAATGTGGTTACACTGAACTTGTTCTTAACATAAATGGCAACGCCACCACCTTTATTAGGCCGGTCGGTACGATACACATTAAAACCATTTAAGTTAATGTCAGAGGCCAAAATAGATTTGTTTAGCCATGTTTCTGATAAAACAATGACGTCAGCGTCAGTTGAGCTCGCCCAGATACGGACACAATCTAGTTTACCTAACAGACTGCGCACATTCAAGTGGATGAAACCCAACCCAGACCTAGCTTTAAAATCAGCAGGAGTAGCGATCTGAATACTACTACTGGGCAGACCAGGGTTAGGTTGTACATTTCCTGACAGTAATAACAACAAAAAAAACAGGCATCTTTTCCTCTTAAACGACACACATACATTGTCATCTAATTTAGAAACACCGGAAAAGTCTGCGAGAGTGTGATTTGAGCTTAAGAAGCAGTCCTGAAGAACCATCATCGCAGGAAAACAAAAAAGACAAACATATTTTGTCGAGCAGATTGTCTGTGACAAGGCAACCGGTAATTGTTTGAGCAACACATCCAAACCTTTGCAGGGGATGCCCACAGCGGGTGGCAGAACAGACCTGAATCCAGTAGACTTCTCAGAATGACTAGAGATCTTCTCATAGTCCAAAACAGTTAACAGGCACAGCAGAATCCCGATATGGGCCATTTTCCCAGACCAGCACACAGTATCCGCGATGTTCCTGGAGCAAAATCAGCACAGCAGCAAAGGACAGGCGAAAACAGCAGCATGGAAGCACTCCGGTCACTCCGTGGTATCCCCGGGGTGAAAGCAGGCCTCTGCAACAGCAGAACCAGGACAGGTGGAAAGCAGGCCCCAGCGGTGGTAAAATCCTCCTCCGTACAGCAGCACACGCCCGGTGAAAGCAGGCCAAGCCCGAAGCGTGGATCCACTACGTCTCTCCGCAACGACTCCGGGGTAAAAACCTCTCCAGTACAGCCGTATTCTACAGGTGGGAGCAGGCCTCCGTAGATCGCAGATCGCAGTCAGCAACAGGTGGAGCCGCTCCGTCTGTTCGCGACGAGCAGGCCTCCGTAAATCGCAGATCGCATGCAGCAACAGGTGGAGCCGCTCCGTCTCTTCGCGACGTCTCCGGAGGAAAAACACCTCAGTACAGCCGTACTCGACAGGTGGGAATAGGCCTCGGCAGATCGCAGACAACTAAAACTACTACTTGTATAAGCAGGGATGGCTAAAAGTTTGTAAGCAGGAGAGCTAGATGCTAACAGATGCCAGATGCTAACAGGTAGTGCGAGCCTGTAGAAATTACATCCAGGACATGGTTAAACTGTATACCCCAGCGCGTGCACTACGCTCTGCATCAGCCAAACGACTTGCTGCACCCTCGCTGCGAGGGGGACACAAGTTCCCATCAGCAAAAATACGTGGGTTTGCTATCCTGGCTCCAAAATGGTGGAATGAGCTCCCCATTGACATCAGGACAGCAGAAAGCCTGCACATCTTTGGACCAACAAAAACTCTTGGGAGCCTAAATGAAACCCTGAGAACATAAGTCACTTAAAATGTTTCGTCACAAAAAGATGGTGGATTGGTTTTGCTTTTTTAGGCAGTTAGACGTTGTTTAATAGTTTAATTAATTGAGTGATTTACCTTCTTAACAATTAAGCATACAGACACAATTTATGATATGAACAATGGATTATATGCTGCATTGTTTTCTGTTAATATTGTATTTGGAGGCAGCATGTAACTACAATGAATAGTTATTTGTGAAAAAAATGCAGACCGTACAAAAAGTGGTATTTGGTTTCATGAAAATCTTAAGAACAAAATGATATTTAAACTATATTTAATTCACTTAAAAACAATACTTTGCCTGCATCTTGAATTGTTGTTCGTGCTGCATTGGGCTTTTTTTGTTTTTATATTCTGCATTTTTAATTCATTTTGTATTGCATTCTATATACTTTTTTTTGGAAAGGCTCTATTTCAGAAATATATTTTGACTACCCTCACTTGTTAGTAAAAGGATTAAAAGAAATACCGTGTAAAATAACATTAAAACAGTATACAGAATCATCAATTCTGTCAACTTTATCAGCCAGAATTTAAAGAGACATTTTAAAAGAAACAAATATTTCTGATGGTCATGGAAACATTGAAATATGTGTCTATCATGCAGAATACCATCAAGAGTTAAAGAGGGCTAAGTCAGATGCATGCTGACACGGTGAACTCTCAAATCTTTTCAAGTATAGGCAAGATTAACATTATCTTCCATCAACACCATTGTTATTCTTTGGTCAAAATTTCAGATCTTAAATTTACAGTGTTTACAATGTTCTATCGGGAAACATGAGTCAGTTATGTAATGATAATCCACACTTATAATACCCTTCAAGTTAGATCTTACCCTGCAAAAGCTAATTTAGCCCAAATGAAGATTGAGTGAGCAGTGTGTTGGTTTTTTGTAACTGTGGCATAAAAACATCATCAATGTCAGTGTGGACCATCAGTGTCAACAATGCTTGTTTGACCAATAAAAAATGTTTTTTCTCTCCATCTGTTGAAATGACTATCTGCTAGATTTGAGAAGCTGACCACAGTGACCAACATCTTGCTTCTGAACATGGTGGTGTCCTCCCTGATCTTCATGAGCAGCCTTCCCTTCGAGGCACTCGACAACCAGCTCTCCGAATGGATCTTCGGGGATGTCATGTGCAGGATTGTTGGTAGCGTCTACTATCTGGGCTTCTACAGTTCAGTCCTCTTACTTACTCTTTTGACCTTTGACCGACACCTTGCAGTTGTGTATTCCCTGAACGCGGCACGAGTGAGGAATCAAAGATATGCCGTCATCTCATGTGCTGCAATTTGGGTGATCAGCAGCTTGGCGTGCATCAGGCCGATGATTCTTTACAAAACTTTCAAATATATGAACACAACTCTCTGTCAGCAGTTCCCTTTGGATGTAGATTCTCTTAATATGGAGATGTTGAGAACATCTGGATTTTACATCCAGCTTTTGCTTTTCTGGATCTTTCCTCTGTCTGTTATTATCTATTGCTACGTTAGGATTGCTATCTCCGTCATTTCGTGGTGGTGCTGCTGTAACCTGTGTGTTTGTTGTAATCAGCAGTGATGGGACCCACCTGTGGCACTTGATTCCAGGATATAAGAGGGCTGCAGAACAGGCTCTCGCTCTCTCTCAGCTGCCCTGCTTGGTGCAGCAGGACACCGCTCCTCTGTTCTGTTTTATTGTTGTTGTAACCACTGTGTTGGATAAATAAATGATTGTTTTGGGCAACTCCGGTGTGGAACTGTTGTCCTTATATTACAAGCAGAGCCAGCTTGTAATATATGGGGGATCGTGTTACTGCACAAGCTGGAAATGAAGCTTAGCGCAAGTTCAAGAAGGAAGACCATACCCCTGGTGTTACACGTCACTGCAAGCTCTTCTCCCATTAAGTAATCAGGGGCGGTACTCCCCAGCTAGCAATCATTGCACCTGCTAAACCCTTTAAATCTGCTCTTCCCTCTCTGTCAGTTGTCATTTCAGGTGTCAACGCACAAGTGTACGCGTCACGGTGTTCATGGTTAAGCCAAGCAGCAGCAGGGCTTTGTCCCAGCTGAGGGCTTCGTTCCAGCTCCAGGCATTTATTCATCAGCTCCGCAGTATCGCGGATTAAGCTACAGGCGGCGTTCCCCAGTCGGGTAGCGGGTCAGCCGGCCGTTCCGCAAGCCCGGACGCGGGAGGAAAAGACAAGGAAATCGGGCTCCATGGAAGTTCCTCCGGCCTAATGGGAATGGCTACTTCACGCAAACAACTGACGTACGCTTCAGTCTCTTGAGAAGGCATCACTGGCATCAGGGCCGCCTAATGCGGCGCTTCACGCGGAACGGGTCCTCATCACATGCGGAGTTTTACCCATTCTGGCTTCAACTACAACCCCTCCTGCAGGCAGGCAGGGCTTAAGCTATCCCATTGAAGCTATTCCTCCTGCGCTCACTTCAACAGGCGTCAGGGTAACGTTGGCAAAGGCAGTTGCAACAAATTCACGAGATGTTTCGTATATTGTTACGACATTTGGGTCATGCAGAGTGAGATCGCTACCCTTACGAGAGGGGTGTGGCGTGTGCATGTGTGCATGGGCATGGTATGAGCGAGCGGGATACATGTTTTCTAGAAATAAACGAGGCAGCAGAAAAAAAAGGAAGGTCTGTGATCTTGCGAAATCTATCTTGCGAAACAGGAGAGCTAAATAATGCAACGACCTCCCAAGAAGAGCTCGCCTCTCTCCAGTCTTTCCGATAAAATGAGTTATTGAACCAGAAGCGTGTTGCTTCTTCCCTGGGAGAGGACAGAGTGTCACCCCCCCCCTCGTTTCCTCGACTACGGTCTGGGAGCCGACAGGAAGTTCAACACTATGCATTGCTACCTCTAGTCAGGGTTAAGGTGAGCTTCAGGCAGTGTTGGGGGTAACGTGCTACAGTATGGAGTTTCAGTAACGTATTACTTGCATTACTAATGCAGTCGGGTAATTACTCATTACAATGCTCAGTAACTAAACGCAGGTTCAAGCTTCAACACAGCGTTTCCTGAAATGAATGGCGTTTCGTAGCGCTTCTTTTCCTCAATGATCAAGTCGCTGCACATTATCCTGTTTATGACCACATACTAAATAAATTAGGAATTCACTCCCAATATTAATTTAATGATTATTGACTAAATGATCGGTTTTCTCTTTTTCTTCTCCACTAAGAATATTCCGTTTCTTGGTGCACCAACGGCTAGATCTGCGACAACAACATCTCCTTGGCAGCAAGGCAAGTTTATTTATATAGCACTTTCAATACAAGGCAATTCAAATTGCTTTAAAAAATGAAAGACATTAAGAAATGGCATTTAAAATCAGTCATTTAAAAGGAAGCTAATAAAATAAACATTAAAAGAAAAAGTACATGGATCAAAGTACAGTGCATGTAAGATATGAATAGTTCAATTAAAAGCAGCGACAAAAGAAAAGTCTTCAGCCTGGATGTAAAAGTAGTCAGAGTTGCAGCGACTAAGGGTGCAACAACTAATCGACTAATCGATCAAATCGATTACCAAATTAGTTTCAACTAATTCAGTCGTCGATTCATTGTGACGTCAGCAGTGTGTTTACGTGCGTAAGCTCCAACGTTATTGGTCTTTTTATCAGTACCGGAGACATTTATAAATATATGTCATGTTTATTGCTACAAAAAAAAAAAAAAAAAAAACATTATATCGCAGTCTAGTGTCACAACTCGTTCTAATATGCAAAGGACAAACAAATGCGCCTATGATGTATTTTCGATCAGATGAGATCTCTCTCCCCCATCGCGAGGGGACGGGGCAGTTTACACACACAGCTGCTACATGCAGCGGAGCACACTGCGGAGGTGGCGGAGAGAACGCGCTCCGAGGCGTGGTTAACTTCACCCGCTTCGACGTGGAGAATGCTCGTTGCCAAAGTGCAATAAGAGTTTATCATGTAAGGGCGTAACACGAGCACTTTGTCTAAACATTTAGCAAAAGTGCTCCACATCCAGACGGAGGAATGCACCAGGTTCCACTGTCTTTCTAGCAGCTCCGTAGCTCCATTCACGAGTAACGTTCCCACGTCAGATGTTATGTATGCTAGCAGCAACACACAGAGTAACTACATTATACAAACTCGGTTAATGATTAGAGGTAACTGAGTATTTATTAGTTTCAATTTCAGCTTTTCTGTTTACAGCCTGTCGACAGATTATTTAATACAATTCGGTAAATGCTCAGGTGACAATCTCGATGACAAGGTCAATGTTCCCCCCTTTCTACGCACGGAGATAATGTAATCTAATAGCGTGCAGGCCAAGGCTGGCTCTTCAAAGCAGATATTACGACGAGCTTTAATGTTCCCATCATCGTTCAGCGGAACTCTTCAGCCTTAAGTCAAGTAGGAGAAACTATGCGTGCACCGGCTATTCGGGTAATAATATTAATAGCGTCTCTCCCCAGTTCAAATCACCCACTGCTCAGGGAGATCTCCTAATGCGTTGCCTTCACGCATCTAGCGTTCAAATACAACATTACTAAACTACAACTCCGCTCAACTGGGAAAAGAGAAGAAGAAACAGAAGAGACTCCTCCAGGAGCACAGCGTTCCTAATCATGAGGAACTACAGGCCCAGTCTCACACCGGAGTTCCTAGCCATCACATCAAGCTCATGGTATTATCGTTCCTCTAACCAACTGCGTGCATCCACATAAACGTCTTCAACGACAGTTGCTCTTCCTCACCGAGCAACCGTACTTTGCATGCGGATTCTTCGGCACGCATCATCTCCCGTTTCCTGGACGTGGCATCCGCCGGCCTCACGACGACCGTGTTTTCCCCGACTTAAGGACGTGCACTGCACATCCTCCGTTTTGGGGGGGATATCTGCATGAGATCATTCAGATTTCCACTATTTCTACACATTTTTATCACACTTGCTGGATCTAACACTAGCGTCCCTCCATCATCCTCACTTGAGATGATAGACAGTCTTAATCACTCAATCAGCTCATCAGCATCTATGACTCATCCCGGCACACTTAACGCTAATTAAGATATACTATATCATGGGTCATGTCTCAGTATTTAACCAAGTGTACGTCTTTTCTGCGTGCATCCGGCACTTCATTCATATTCTCGGGTTCATGCTCACTTGGCTCGTGGTAAACCAGGTTACGATATTCATGCATCACCGTACTCAAGCTAACAGCTCTCGGGCATTATATCGTCTACATCTCCCTCTTCACCGGACATCGGCTCGTGCCGCCAATCAAGATCTCTTCAGTTTACCTATGGTAAATATGCATATAACTGGTGGTGGCGTCTAATAGCATATCAGGGCTTTCGTTCAGACAGGTGCAGCCATTCAAGGCATATCTCCCTCCTCCCTGCCAACTCGGACGGTGGTTCTCCTCCGCCTTCATATCCCACATTCGCCCGGACATCCGTGCGTGCTGGCCATCCAAGGTCCGAACACTAAACGGTATTTATACATACAACTGGTGGTGGTCTTAGCAAGTCAGCACATGTACGTGTCACCGTGTTCATGTTTAAACACTTCATATCGTCGTGACCTTCAGGTTCGCTCGTATTGAATCCTGCCGCGCAGGTTGCGGCCAGTGGGTCCGCATTATGTTTAAACCCTGCACGTGCAGGGCGAGTAGGCCAGTGTCATGTTTAACCCTGTGTGTACAGGTTGCGGCCTATGGGTCAGCATTTTGTTTAACCCTGCGTGTGCAGGTTGCGGCCTATGGGTCAGCATTTTGTTTAACCCTGTGTGTGCAGGTTGCGGCCTATGGGTCAGCATTTTGTTTAACCCTGCGTGTGCAGGTTGCGGCCTATGGGTCAGCATTTTGTTTAACCCTGCGTGTGCAGGTTGCGGCCTATGGGTCAGCATTTTGTTTAACCCTGTGTGTACAGGTTGCGGCCTATGGGTCAGCATTTTGTTTAACCCTGTGTGTACAGGTTGCGGCCTATGGGTCAGCTTTTGTTTAACCCTGTGTGTACAGGTTGCGGCCAGCGGGTCAGCGTCATGTTTAACCCTGCGCGTGCAGGTTGCGGCCGGTGGGTCAGCGTCATGTTTAACCCTGCGCGTGCAGGTTGCGGCCTGTGGGTCAGCATCGTCTAATCCAACATGCAGGCGCTAAGCATGGTTGGCGTTCACATTAACCCTACAGTTATTCCGACAATCTCATCATGTCCCGGTGTTATCTCATTTCATCCGCAGATCTCCTCAATCAGCCAGCAAGGTAAGAAATGCTTCACATCTCAGCACTTCTTACTTCTCTTCTCTTTGGGGGTTCATCGGAGCGGTTTTCCCCTCCTGAATGATATCCTACAAACCGGGGCCTAATCTCCAAACATCAGTTGATTCATTGTTGTAATCTGTCAATCATAATTTTCTATACCACGTGTCCGGTATTAAACATGTATTTCATACATTACGTCTCTCATGATTGAAATGAAGCTTAGCGCAAGTTCAAGAAGGAAGACCATACCCCTGGTGTTACACGTCACTGCAAGCTCTTCTCCCATTAAGTAAT